ATGAGGTGAAAAAGAAACTCGAAGATGCACAGTTTCAAGGATATTTGTCACATCTATCTCCTTGGTTTCAATAGTTGATGCCCCCTGTGAAATATCCCAAATCACAACAGTACTACTCGAAAATGGATTCATGATTTTGCACAGAGCACCGAACACCCTCAACAGAAACCAAAGCTAATGCATGATCTAAAGAATCTAATTGATCAATATCAGCTTGTATTAAGACACTTGAAATGGAAAATGTACTCTCACCAGAATGAGAAAAAGTCTGATCCAAGGTCAGAAGCTCCAACTCAAAATCGGTACCCGCTTTAACCAAAAAATCATCCCTAGTAAAATGTTCACTCTCCATATCCATTCATTTAGCAACAATTTTTTCCATCAAAGCAATTGATTTTGTAAATCTTGTCAGAAAACTATTGAACCCTAATCCATTCCGACCTTTGGGTATAAACAAATTATCTTTTCCATTCTCAATTATGCGAATAAAACCTCCAAATAAATTTGCATCGTAGAGCATGATAATAGATTTATTCAATTCCCATTTAGTACCAAAATTTCCGGGTAAAATATTGAGAATGGATTTCTTCGACCAAATAGCTTTAGCTATATCTAGGTCAATAGCAGATGTGAATCCATTCTTCATTTCCAAAATGCGCATAAGGTTACAATCCATAATAGTAAATTGAAAAATTTTGCTTTCAATTATAATTTCAAACCCAGATAATGGTGGAGAAGCTGGAGTTTGAGAATTACAGCCAACACTCCCCACCCCCTTGAAATCCAGGTCCTCTGTCGCTGATTGCATCTCCATAGCGGCTGGTTTGGAGTCCGAAAATGGGGAAAAGCACAAGCCTGGTCACGAGCTTGAAACCTACGCTAAGGCCTGCGATGACAGGAAACCATTGAATTCCCGTTCATATATTTTCGGCATCCTCTTCACATATCCCCACCAGCGGCGCCTTCCAGAAGCCCTCCTAGAGTCCTCATAGTCATCGAATCTGACCTGGTCTCGTGATTCTCGCCAAAGCCTCCATCCAGCATGTAACTGAGGAAAACCCTCGCTCGCGATTCCCCTCATTCCCTCTCAGCATAAACACATTTGCTCTTTCTCATTTTAATTCTAAAAACACCAAATGCAAACCCGGCAAAATATGACTTGAGATAATTATGAGCCTCATGACACATTTAAGCTAGGAAAATCATCAAAAGTTGATCTCAACACGCATCAAATGCATCATGAAATACAGACTTATCAAATTCCCCCACATTTAAGCTTTTGCTTGTCCTCAAGCAAACTGAACTTCGAGACCTACGATAATCACCACACGGCATTAAAAACCGTTAGCATGCACAAGTAGTTAAAAGTATATTCACAGAAAGATAGATAAAATTAAGTAAATTCTTCCCTAAACTACCTCTGTGTACTCTGACTAAAATTACTGAGCAAATTAATCACAACATCCTTGAAGTTAAGGCAGCACACACAGTTGAATTGGCTCCTGATCAGAAGGACTTGCGAAGGTGATGTTGAATGGTAAAAAGTCCCTTTCTTTGAGAGTTTGAAACAACCTGACAGCGAGTCAATGTATTCGGGAGTTCCAGGGCTATTCTTAGGAATAAGGTATTCAACAAGACACGTAAATAGGAACTATCATATATGTCTATGCAAGAAGTAGACACAGTGTACAACTAAACTAAACTGTCGCCGCACATTGGTGCTTTGACGTATACTTGAAGTGTGTGAAGGACTAATGCTAGATTTTTGCAGAAGCCTTCAAGTCCAATTTTAATCAGTTTATTTTTCCTCATCATGTTGGCACGAGAACGCCATTTTTTCGAATGATCCCCAAGTCTCAACTTATTGTGCAAAACACTTACGCTTTTTGACCGGATCTCTCATTCTCTTTTTCACAACGTAAAAGGTCTAGCTATATTAACTAATAAATTTTTTTCGTTTTCCAGATTTTTACTAGACATTACCCCATTCTAATCTCGGCCACACCAAGAAAAATTAAGCAATTAAAGTTCATTACGCATGTGAATTCATGCCTACACTGCAATCCTCGAACATATCAAGTTCCTATAAAGTGAGGGCTCTTACCCCATTTGGGGCATATGAACAGTGCCAAAATGGACTCATACAAAACTCCATAATCTTAACAAATTAATCACATAGCACTCTAAACATCAAAATACTTTCAGAGGGTAAAAACAAAAACCATTTGACAATAGAGCTCATATCAAGGGTAAAAGAACAGAAAGATTAGGCTCAAAAATGGCTTCACCTAAACGACTTATTCAGGTGGACTGGGAAATAGTGAATTAACTGAGTAACTAATGTCTTCATCATTTCAACAACTAGATTAAAGGTGTAAGTAGGTTAAGTCAAAAACTTCAAAAACATTTTGATAGCACAGTTACCACTCTAGCCAGCTCACAAAGAAACAGTTTAAAGAAAAAAATTACAAAAATTTTGACATGACTTTTCTACGAATGATAAAATTAACACCTGCGCATGCTAACACAAATAATCTCACGTAACAACTACTGCCCGAATGCCCAATTCACCCCCCACACTTAAACTTTGGTATCACTCTCGATGATAAAAAATGCAATATGAACTAGGGAGAAAGAGGAATGGGTCACTCATGTTGAGTTAACTCAAGTCAACTTTTAAAAAAGGATAGGAATGAAGATATAGAAACTTCACAAGGGCTTTGTCTGGTCTCAAAACACAATTATTCAACGAAATCATTAGTGCACCATCTCTTGGAAAAAACTCAGAGTTGCAAATCAAAGCACTCAAAAACAAAAACTCACGGAAAACTGCATTTTTTTTCTTTTTTGCAATTTTTTAAGGGTTCTCTTGAAGCAAAAAAAATGCGGAAATAAGTTTGGGTTGCCTCCCAAGAAGAGCTATTTTTAACGTCATTTACCCGATGCAACAACCCCACTTAATAACTCAATTAAAAATGCTTCTACTCCAAAAAGTAGTTCTCCACATATCAAACCTCCCTTCAACAATCTCCTATAAATGGCGCAAAACTTTGAATTCATGAAACCAAATGCTCATCTCGGGATCACAACTAAAGCATGAGAGTGGGTCAAGGCCTTTGTCAGGACCTTTGTCTAAAAAAGGGTCAAATAAATATTCCTTAAAAGGAAGAAAATTCACTTCCTTCTCTACTAGTGGTTCCATGACATCTAGAAAATAACACTCATCTCTCAACTGACAAGGTTGTTTTGACACTAGCCATGCTAAAAGTGATTCTCTCATCACCAACTTTCAACACTAACTTCCCTTCCCCAACATCTATGAGGGCTTGAGCAGTGGCCAGAAAAGACCTTCCAAATATTAAGGGTACCTCAAGATCTTGGGGCATATCCAAGACAACAAAATAAAAAAGAATTATAAACTTGTCCACTTTAACCAACACGTCTTCAACAATCCTTAGGAGATATTTGACTGAACGGCCAGTCAACTGTATGCACATATTTGTTGATTTAAGTGGACCCAATGCAAGCTTCTCATAGAAGGAATGAGGCATTAAATTAATGCTTGCACATAAATAAGCCAAAGCCTTATCAAAACTCAAATCTCCTATGTCACAAGGGATATTAAACTGACCTGGATCCTTAAGCTTTTTGGGCATCTCTTTGAGCACCACTGCCGAGCACTCCTCATTCAGCACCATTGGTGCTGGTTCCCCCCACTTTCTTTTGTTTGCTAGAAGTTCTTTCATAAACTTGGAATACTTTGACATTTTTCGTAGTGCCTCCATGAATGGTAAGTTAATTTGAACTTGTTTAATGAGGTTCAAAAACTTATCAAACTGACAACTATCACTCTTTCTCTTCAAACCGTCTCCACCTCTCTCTTCTCTTCTTCTTCTTCTTCTTCTTCTTCCTTCTTCTCCTCCGAGACAACTTCCGTGGTTTCAACTCCTGCGAGCTTGTTTGTTTGTGCAACTGGCTCAAGCTCCCTTCCACTCCTTGAAGTGATCGCGTGAACATGCTCTCTTGGATTATTTTCGATATTGCTAGGGAGAGATCCCTCATCCCTTAGGCCTCTCATATTGGGCTTTCGTATGCTGACCCACTTGATTCTGCAGGGTTTGAAATCCGACACTAGTCGTTTGTGTAAGTTTTAGGAGTTCCTCTTCTAGTTCAGAAATCTTTTGTTCAGTCCCCAATTTGTGACCCCCTTGACCTTGATGAAGTGTTTGCGGTGAGACCGGATGTGCTTGGGGCTGCTGTATTGATTGTAAATATTCCATTCTTGTTGGTTCCCATGCCCATAGTTGCCATGCCTAACCACATGTCTATATCCACCTACAAGAGCGGGCCGGGCAGTGATGTGAGTTTTCTCGCACAAAAAATATGTAGTAGTATAGGGTATAAGTACAAGTATTGTCTCCACAGGGACGAGAAAAGGGAAATAAGAATTAAATAAATTCAGCGATTAAAATTTGAAAACAAAAATGCATTTGTGCGAGATTTGAATTTTTTAAAATTAAAATGTGAGTAAACGATTAAATTAAAGGTTTCTTTCTAACTAATGACAGAATGGAACGAGGATTGATACCAGGCAAATCAGATTTTGGGACTGGTCATGCTTAATCACATGAAAATTATTTAATTGATCAACGCTGGTCAATACTAAGTACTTACCGTTCTCGTGGCGTAAAGTACAATAATTTAGGGAATCAGGTTGATCTCTCATGCGATATATCTCTAAATTATTGCCATAACGATTAAGTGTGTGCGAAAGTGTCCTACAATAAATTAGATCTCTCTTAACTTATTCTATGTGCAAATTATAATCCCAGTGTCCGTTTTAAGTTACAAGAGACCTCAATTAAATTATTCAAACAAATTAAATAAAGGTCGTGCAATTAATCTCTGAAGAATTTAACCCTATTCATAATTAACCCCTTAATCAATCCCAAATCCCTAATTAAAACTACTCACAATTTATAATGAATCAACAATAGAATTGAGAAGGAAAGCATTAATTGTCATTAATTAAAGAGATTGAACATACAAAGAATCCCAAAATCTTGATAATCCAAGGCTTGAAAATTTTTCAAAAATCGTTCTAGGGTTTATCTATCTAAGCTCATCATAAAAAACAGACAAAAACGGGTTGAATTTATAGAAATCGGCAAAAGTGAGCGAAATTTGGTCCGAGGAGTCGTCCGCAGGGCGTGCGGCTGACCGTGTCGCCTCCCGTAAAATTTTCGACGTCTCTCTCTTCTTTTTCCCGCATGGCGTGCGTACTTCGGGCGCACGGCGTGCACCTTTCCAGTTTGAATTTGACTATTCTTCCTTCACAAAAGTTGTAGATAATGAAGTCTTCTATCCACCAAAACTTGCAAAACTGCGATTGGACCATCAAATTTTAGGATATGAATAAAATGGTGGAAGGTCGCATATTGAAATCTCAACAGTGATTATCTGATTTCCTCATCTTTTTTTACCTTGATCCTCTCACATTCTCGTCATGATGTCTTCATATGAATTAATTTATCTCAATATTGTAGTCCTCTAAGTTATCTTTCATAAGGAACTTGAATCGTGTACTTTGGATGTTTCTACAAAAATACATGTCTGAACGATTGACACAACGTCATCCTGATCGTTGTTTTTTAGCTTTATTCGTTCTTGTTTGATTTCGTACTTGATCTTTGAGCTTTCTTAACTTCAAAATCACCCCTTTAATGAATCGTGAACCATCAATGATTCTCAATAACTCTCAAATGTGTCTCGATTCCTCTCGATTAATTCTACAACACCGGTGTCGAGTTCAATTTCCCGATTTTAATTTAAAAAAAACCAAATGCAACCCAAAACCTGGTAAAATATGATTTGAGCTAATTATGAGCCTTATGACACATTTAAACTAGGAAAACTATCATAAGTTGATCTCAACACGCATCAAATGCGTCTTGAAATAAGGACTTATAGGCAGTCCACCGAGCCATCTAGTATGGATAAACTTTAATATGTTTTCAAAAATTGTACTCTGTATAAACAATTTTTAACACTTAAAATAACATTACATCATTTTAAAATTTTTTTATATGCTTATAATGTTTATAAGCCTCTCACTACATGCACAAAAATAATCATGAAAAACTATAACTAAAGCTTAAAATTCAAACACAAAATATTATCTTCAAGTATAGAAATAAGGTGAAATTGATAAGAATAATCTCTACTTTAGGGATTCTACAATAATAATCCCTACTCACACTGTCCACAAAAATAATCCAAACTAGCAAATGTGTTCATAAGCATAAATTGTGGTGAATTCAAATTAATGTCCCTTCAGTACTCATAATCCTTACTTCCACTTTTCTCCCACTGGTTCTTCTTATTGGGACAAATTCAATCTAAAACTCATTTAATATCAATGGGTAGGGGTTGAAAGTATCAAATGGGCGATAATTTGAATTCATTGTAATTTATTTTTATGGACACTATTGCGAGTACAGATTACTTTTATGGATACTCACAATAAGGATATTTTTGTAGAACTCATAAAAGTATGGATTATTCTTGTGAATTTTGCCCAGAAATAATTGATATTATATTAGTTGAGCTAGAAGTTAATAACTAAAAATGTAAATTTAAATATAATGAACCATAAGTATATATAAAGAAAAATTAGTAGATATAATATACACGTCTACATGTAAATAAGTAAATAAATAAATAGATAAACTAGTAAATACACACACGTATGTATATATGTATATATATATATATATGTGTGTGTGTGTGTTTATATATACCAAAAGTAGCAGCCGGACTTATCGACCCGAACGGGCCTATACTCTTACCCAAGTCCACTCATATGTTATTGCGGTCCAATCGGCGGGGGCTAGCTTGATGGATAAGTATATATGCCCAAACCAGCTATTTATGTGGGCGGACCAAGCGAGCTAGCTGACCTGTGATTCTGCAGGTCTATTAATAAGGTTTTTAACGAGACAACTAATACCTAAATTATTCATTGATGACTAATTGATGACATTGAAAGATAGTGTTGAAATATAAATGAAATAGTCATCTTTAACTATTCATGATTAGGAATATTATCACAATTACCAAAATAATTAGAAAAATCATAATTATGATTTCAAGTTGATAATTGTATAGCTCATAATTATCTCCTAATCTAAATGAGTTCCACTTTCTGCTATAAATATATCTCTTCTCCCATTAACAACAACACTATCGAAAGTCAGTTGTGCTATTTGTACGATAAATTGTACACATTTTGTGTACACTCCTAGTTGTCCATGTATATTGACAATTAGGGGATGTACAAATAGTTTTTCCATCAAAAGTATACTTATTTCCTTCTACTACCTCTTTCTCATACAAAATTGACCAACTTTCATTTTGTTATCATCCCATTTTTTCTTTTTTATTTTCATTTAAAGTAATAAATATTTGTTAAAGTTATGAAACAATTACATATTTATGACTAAAATGAAAATTGTTTATAAAAATGTGACTATTGAAATTGTAGTAACTAATAGTCATATTTTTGGTCGAATTTTCTTTTTTGGATGTCCCAAAAAAAATTGTCATTTCCATTTAAAGTAAGAAATATGTGACTAAAATTAATTTTCTTTCCTCTGTACAAATTTCAACCACACTGTTTTTACTTTATTAATCCACGTGACAGTCAACTTTGATAAACTTTTTTGGGACGAAAGGAGTATCAACTATTTGATTTTTACATTATTTTTTTTATGTAGGGAGTACGAAGTACTACTTCCGTCCTTGAAATATCTCCTTATTTAACTGGGCACGAATTTCAAGATAGTGAGAAATGTGTGGTGGAGAGTTGTGCAGAGGAAAGAGAAATGTGTAAGAATGATTGTGAACCATAAATTATTTGCCAAAAAAGGAAAAAGGATAAATTAAGGACGGACCGAAAAGGAAAGAATAAAATAATTCCGGGGTATTTTAGTAACCGTTACCTCGGTATATTGTTGTTGCGGTAATCATTTCTCTCATGAACACTTTTCATCTATCCAGAAGATTATCATCTTTAAAAGTCAGTTTCTTCATCGTCCAGCCGCAGGCCCCGATCAACTATCTTCAAATCAATCAATCCGTGCAATAATGAAGCGTATAAACTCAACCGTCGATCGGATCTTCCGTTTTGTCAAAGAGAGAAGTGGACGCTGTAGGAGATCCATGGAGGCATCAATCTCTTCGTCTTCCGGCGGAGAAGGATACGATTGGGTGAGGAAAGAACGGGTGGACGCGGTGGTGGTGGGAGCAGGGGTGGTGGGCATAGCGGTGGCGCGTGAGCTGGCGGTGAAGCAGGGAAGAGAGGTTCTGGTCATCGACTCTGCACCCACTTTCGGCACCGGAACAAGCTCCCGCAACAGTGAGGTCATCCATGCCGGAATCTACTATCCTCCCCAGTCCCTCAAGGTCCCCACCTTTACCCCCAACTCTATCTAAAGTTGACCAGTTGACCTCCCATTATTATTACTCTCCTATTTTTATTAAACTTTACAATCTTATTTCAGTAAGGAAATAAATTTAGTAAGAAAATAAATTTTAATACTACCTCCGTCCCGCAAATAAGTTCTTACTTTCCTTTTATGGATGTTCCAAAAACAAGTTATCATTTCTATAAAATGAAACCACTTTTAACAAAAAACTCACAACCACCCTTACTTTTTACCCACTTTTTGTTTGATTTGACATAAAGTAAGGGTATACTTGGAAAGTCAAAACAAAACTCTACCTTACATGAATACGTGTGTAGGCCAAATTAGGAACTTCTTTACGAGACGGAGGGAGTATGAGACAGCCCAAAAAAAGAAAGTGTAAAGTTAATTAAGGACCGAAAAAGCAAAATGACTCACTAAATTGTCTGCGCTTCTTTGTTATGGCTTCAATGGAGTCAGTCCATGCAATCTTGGATGCTATTTTCACTATGGGTCATCCGGAAACAGTCTCTCTGTGCTTTAGTACAGGGTAAGACTGCGTACATCCGACCTCCCTTACCCCACCGTAGGTGGGAGCCTTTGCGGCACTGGGGTAAATGAAAATAAAAAATGATTGAAGGTCAGTTTTTATTTTATTTGAACCGAAAAAAAAAATGATGCATTTTACAACTCCCCACACCATATTACTTCCCGTAGCTCCAAAGTATCCCCATCATTGATGCATATGGATAGCACAATTCTATTCTTGCAATGAAGCCGATTTATGAATTAAGTGATGAGCTTAATAGCAACGCTACATCCATTAGCGTTTGAGATCAATTCACTTTTTCTATTTCAATGTAACTTAACCTTCTAAATAAAGCTAATCACATACGGTAATATTTCACTGAATAAAATACTCCGTATACTCGTAGTATAATATTTCAGCTCATGCTGAAATACCGTACAAACATAGCCTAAAAACAAGAAACAGGAGTAGTATATTCGGGGGCGGCCCTAGGGGGAAAAGGGCCGGGCCATAGGCTCAAAAAATGGAAAAACTTTAGGCTCATGTGGCCATGTTTAGTTATTTATAATAGGCGTGAACCGCGTGAGTATGTTGGGTTTTTAGTCCTAAACTTTGGTCGATTTTTTTGATAAAAATATATGACCATTGTTCTTTATGAAATGTACTCGTATTAAATAAAAACTTAACATAAAATTTCTAAAAGTTCATGAGTTATAAATATTTGGATATATTCAATGTAAACTTTTAAAACTCTAAAAAAGTCATCGATTCAATGTAGACTTTTAAAACTCTAAAAAAGTCTTGTTGTATTCAAACTTCTATTTATTCTTAAGAATTTTTAAGACCGTGTATTATCGTAGACTTTTAACTCATTATTAGTACATTAACTCTCTGCAATTGTCTCTTCTTTTCATAAAAAAAAATTCCGTTGACCTTTTCTTTTATCTTCTTGTCACAAGTACGCAGAGATACAGCTTTTGAATTAGATCACATTTGACTAATTTTTTATCTGTGATTACGAACCGGTCAATCGGTCCTAGACTTATACCGGGTCGGGAGGTGGGTACTAGTATGGTCTCGATATGTAAGGTTTTGTAAGTTAAAATCTGATTTTTTTATCATTTTACGATAAATAAAACTCAACAAGGAGATTTCATATCAATACTGATAGATAAGATAAACTTAAATAAAAATGAAAAAGTGATTTTTTATACATTATCTTATGAAGAAAAATGTATAGTTTAGATTGGTTCGGTTCTTCGAAAGAAACTTAGGAATCATTTGAAAAATAGTTAGTTCAATATAGGTTCGGTTCTAAATTTTTTTGAAGAATCATTAGAACTTATAGTATCTTAGTCAGGGGCGGAGCCAGGGCACTGGGGCAGACTGGGCCGGTATAAAGAATATTACAACTACAACAACAACATCCAAGCCTTAATCTCAAAAGAATTTGAGGTCGGCTAACATGAATCGATCTATGATATCGATGCCAAAAAGAGAAGGCGGACAAGAAAAGGAAAAAAAGTAAGATAAAATGAATAAAATAAAGATACATAAATATAAGATAATAATAACACAAGAATATAACCAGGATAAAAGAAAAATAAATAAAAGAACATAAAAAAGCTAGAAGATAAAAATAACATAAGAATATAAAAAGATAAGAAACATACAAAGAATATTATTGAAAAAAAATTACACAAATTTTTTTACACTAAAAATATTGACATTTTTTAAATTTGGGGTGGGCCAGAGCCTAGCCTGGGCACCCCTAGCTCCGTCCTTGATTTTAGTGCTCCTATTTTTGTATGTTATCAGTTAATCATTACAACAACATCTCAGCCTTAATCCCAAAAGAATTTGGGGTCGGCTAACATGAATCGATCTATGATATCGATGCCAAAAAGAGAAGACCTACAAGAAAGGGAAGAAAAAAGTAAGATCAAATGAATAAAATAAAGATAAATAAATATAAGATAACAACAACACAAGAATATAAGAAAGATAAAAGATAAAAAATAAAATAGCATAAAAAACTAGAAGATAAAAATAACATAAGAATATAAAAAGATAGAGAAGATAAACGATAAAAGAAAAAAGAGAGGAAAGGTAGAAAAGACATCAATCGTCCACACGGATGTGCGCCTTTCACTTTGCTCTCTCCAAAGTCACTCTCATCCAACCCAAGAAGATGCATATCATTTCTGATTCCTCTAATCCAAGTCTGTTTGGGTCTTCCCCTCCCTCTCTTTTCTGCTTCTTCTCTCCACCTCTTAAGTCGTCTAACAGGTGCATCACTCGATCTTCTATGCACATGCCCAAACCATCGCAAACGAACTCTTGCATTAGACCTGTACAAAACTGGGCCGGCCCGCTCGGCCCATCTAGCCGCCCGCACAAATCGAAGGGCTTGGGCATATATACTTACCCATCGGGCCGGCCGACAATAAGATATGGGCGGGCTTGGCTTAGGGTGTAGGCCCGTTCGGGCCGATAAGCCCGACCCGCTACATTTAGTATATATAAATATATATTTATATATATACTAATTTATTTATTTATTTACATATACACATGTATATTTTTATTTACTAATTTTTCTTTATACATATTTATAGTTTATTATGTTTAAATTTAAATTTTAAGTTCTTAACAACTAGCCCAACCAATATAATACTCCCTCCGTCCCTCAATACTTTGCCAAGTTTGACCGGCACGAGGATTAATAAAGTAAAAACTGTGTGGTTGAGGTTTGTGGAGAGGAGAGAGAATTAATTGGAACCACAAATTCTTTACTTAAATGAGAAAGTGGCAAAGTTAGTGGGATATCCAAAAAAGGAAAGTTGGCAAAGTTATAAGGGACGGAGGGAGTATCTATTTTTGTACTTAAAGATAATACTTTGTACGTAAATTTTAAATTTTAGATATAGTTTGTCATTATTATTTTTGTGTAAGTATTTTTTTGTATGTGGTGAAAGACCTATAAACATTATAAGTGCATTAACAATTTTTTTAAAAGTTGTAATATTATTTTTAACGTATTAAAAAAATCATATGATTTTGAAAAAATTAAAGCTTTCCCGGCCCGGGCGGCCCGGTGGACTACCCGGCCCGCTCTTACGGGCGAGTATGGACATGGGATTAGGCCCATTTTGCGGGCCGTGCCGGGCTCGCCCACACATGATGGGCAGAAAATTTATAAAAAGCCCGGCCCGAGCCCGGCCTGAACCCGTTTTTGTACAGATCTATCCTGCATCTTATCTTCTATAGGTGCTACTCCCACCTTTTGTCTGATTACCTCATTCCTCAAACGGTCTTTTCTGGTATGTCCACACATCCAACGCAACATACGCATGTCTACCACACTCATCTTTTGAATGTGGCATTGCTTCACCGCCCAACACTCTACGCTATACATCAATGCCGGCCTAATTGATGTATAATAAAATTTACCTTTCAGTCTAGTCGGCATACCTCGATCGCATAGAAATCCTGAAACACTCTTCCATTTCAGCCACCCTGATTCTATGGCATACATCTTCATCTAATTCACCATCCTTCTGAATTATGGAACCCAAATAATGGAACATATTACACACCGGTATCTCCTTACCATCAAGAGTAATCCCACTGTTGTTACTACTTCTACCTCCACCGAACTTGCACTCCATATACTCAAATCATTACCGTGTTTCATCATTAAACTGCTCACATAAAAATATAATGAGTATCAAACTAATAAATATTTAGCCACAAATAAGTAAACAAATTTTAACAAGTTAAAAATGTATAGCATACAATTATTAATAAAATTAAAAGTTTTCAACTCTTCCTCGTACTTTTTTTTACTCCAGGGGGAGTCTGGGTGCTGGGGAGTCTGGGTGTTGGGGGGCCTGGAGTAATCAGGGTTGAAACTCACTCCATTGGGTTTCAAACCCTTATGTGCCTACCGGGTTTCGAACTCGAGATCTCTCACTAGACACGATAACCTCACAACCAGCTGGGCTGGAATGCTTGCTTAACTCTTCCTCGTACTTGATGTTTAGAAAATACACTACTATGATTATGGATGTTTTTAATCGGATTAAAATTTTATGGTCTTATCTGATCTGTTTGGGTCTCTGATATGATTGCTAGTCGTTCTATGTATATTTTACAATATGAAAGTCTGATCGAATCTGTTTAAGTCTGGTGTAGTATGTGTTCACAGGCTTGCAGATGGAACGGTAATGCGGCTAATCACCAGCACAAATCTAAATCTAAACACGACAAAGAAAGCAATCTGATCAGTTCACGTTAGAATATTTTAATGTAATATAGTTCATATTATAGTTGAGGCATTTGCATAGCATTGCCAAATTAACACATCATGCCATCACCTCTTACTTTACTACCCAGGTGTGGTGTTGTCCCAATACCAATAATTTTGAATTTAGAGCGGATCTGAGAACTAATTCTTTAGTATAAAATTTTAAATTAGGTTACATATGGGAAAAAATATCAAACTTGGGTAGGTCCCGGCCTCTAACCCTCTCCTATCATTTGGACCATTTGGCACAATATATAAATAAGTACTACCTCTGCCCTTTAGATGGGACATAAGGAAATAGTGGTATTACTTAGAAAATGTAATTATGTGGTTGATGTTGAATTAGTAATGTAAGGGGGTGTTTGGATCTGATTCTTAAAACTGCTTCTGCTCCTTCAGGGAGCAGAAGCAGAAGTTGGGGTGTTTGGGTGAAAGTGCAGAAGTGATTCTGGTGCTCTAATTTACTCCTAGAATCAGTTTTTTTAGAAGCTGGGGGTGACCAGCTTCTGAAAACTGATTCTGATTCTGCTTCTGCTTTAAAAAATAAGCAGAATCAGAATTAGTTCCAAACACCCCCTAAGTAAATTAAGAATGAATTGGAACCACAATAATAGCACCAAATATAGTATCAGACAAATTTAATGAACACTCAAAAAGGGAATTGTCCTAAACAAGATGTATGTGCAATGTGCTCATATATATTATAGGTGCTATGAATTTTTACCTTTTTTTAATTGAAGGATGAAAATGAAATGTTTTTTTTTCGGTTTTGAATACACAATCAGGCAAGATTTTGTGCTAGAGGGAAGGAGCTAATGTACAAGTACTGCAAAGATCACGGAATCCCTCATAAAGAGATTGGCAAGCTTATTGTTGCCACTGGTTCTTCTGATATCCCAAAGCTGAACGCTTTGTTGGCCAGAGGAATTGAAAATGGGGTTGACGGTCTCAAAATGATTGAGGCTTACGAAGCCAGAAGATTTGAACCAGAATTGCAGTGTGCTAAAGCTTTATGGTCACCTTCTTCAGGCATAGTTGATACTCATTCCTTAATGCTCTCGCTAGTGGTACGGTGTTTTATTTGTGATACTATTCCATCTGGTATTCCAACTGTTAAGTCTTCATCACATATATTTGATAATTTCACTCAGCATTACTATGACTATACTGTTGGTGACAAACCAATGATTATACCTGGTGTATCAAGGGTTTAGAGTTTCATCCAAAAGATCAACCTAATATGAGAAAGTAGTTTAACATCATATAAGTCATTTACTAACTTAGATGTGTAGGGTAAACTTCACATGTTGAGTATCTAATTTAATAATGTATTAGATCCTGATCTAATCAGGTTTTTCGTCTATTTGGCATTCCAAATTTTAAGGTAGCCTTTTGGTTTTATTTGACCTATTTATCCACCCAGATAAGACTCACCAGTAGAGCATCGGTTCAGGTGCGACTGTGGGAGTCAAGCCTCATTTAATAGTATCTTTACATGTGGCGGTGTGGCCCTTTGAATAGAAGATGACATTCCTTTTGTAGCACCTTAAGACTTCTCCCCTCAAAAAACTTAGGCTTGGCTTGGGATTTAACCATTTCTATTATAGTGTTGAACTCTGAATCCAAAATGTATCATTGGATTTTGTCAAAAAACTAATAATGTGTTTTGCATTTCAATTTAAATAATCCCAACAATATTTAAAAGTTGTAGCGCGTCTCAATCTAAAAAACGTAGTTTAGAAATCTTTTTTACTGTTGTAACTTTAAGTTGATTTATAACGACTAATTATAAACTACACCACTTCACTTTCTCAAAATAATCATTAAGTGGAAAAAATGTGATTTAAAAGGCAACACAAACTGGCCCTTAAGAGTTAAGAGCTATAGTTTTTTCCCTTTCTGGTTTGTTTTTTTAGAGATGAATATATTATATTGACAGGGATGTCAACCCAAACGGGTGTAGGGGGAAGCTGAAAATCATGGTACAACTTTCACTCACAATACAGCTGTTATTGGTGGTCATCTTGATGGAAACCAAATCCATATTCATGTTTCAGAAAGCAATGCTCTTAAAAACCGGCATGGGGATTCTCAGCTCGTTCCGCAACTGATTCTTATTCCCAGATTTGTAGTGAACTCTGCTGGCCTAAGTGCAATAGCCGTAGCTAAGCGATTCAGTGGACAACTGCATAGAAATGGAGTTACTCCCAGCGCTTATTATGCCCGTGGTAGCTACTTTACTCTCTCAAACACCAAGAAACCTTTCTCCCATTTGATTTATCCCATACCCGAAGCCGGTGGTCTAGGTGTACATGTTACTGTGGATTTAAACGGTCAAGTAAAGTTTGGCCCTGATGTTGAGTGGATAGACAGCATCGATGATGTTTCAAACTTCCTAAATATGTAAGTTTTCTTGAATTGAATAAGCATCAATCAACTCGGCTATAATGTACTCCTTCCGTCCTACTAAACTTTGCAAGTATCAATAAAATTCCTTTCTGTAATATCATATTGAGTACTGCATTGCTAAAAGATCTCATTTTGTTTTGCGCTTCAATGGGACTTCTAGTGCAGTTTCCAAATATCTAAGTTTTAATTATGATATTAATACTAACTTAAATATTGTCAACAAAACCATAATGCATATACGTCAGATAAACAACACTAAAAGAAGGAATTAAATCAATTGGCATAACCTATCAACCTTATAAACTCGTTTGTTTCTCCTTATTTCATTAGTATTTTTGTGTGACTATTCTTAAGACAAATACTGTTTATCAGGATATTGTTACCATTTTGAATAGTCTGTTACTTCAATATATGAGTAGAAATGATTAAATTCATTATGTGAATGTATAGGTTTGATTATTCGGTACGTGAAGATCATGCAAAGAAATTCTACCCAGCTATAAGAAAATACTATCCTGGTCTAAAGGATGGATCACTGGAGCCTGGTTATGTCGGTATCCGACCCAAACTTTCTGGTCCTGAAGTAGGCTTCACTGATTTTATAGTGCAGGTATGAAACTCTTGAAACCTTAGCTGGTTTGAACTCTTCAGTTTGTATGTAGATATGCCATTGCATATAAAGAAATAACTTTCACATTTAATTATATGATAACCCATAAGAACTCACCTTCATTAAGAGCATGCACTTACGTCGTTACTCTGTAATTAATTTATATGCGGTGACAGATTCATATACGAGTAATTACTCGTATACTAATCGTGTGGTTAATACTATATAAGGATGTGGTATTTTGCTTAGGTTACTGCTTCATACACAGTAAGATTGTGATTTAGTACAGGAATAAGACTCCGTACATTCGACCCTCTTACCCCACCGTAGGTGAGAGCCTTTGCAGCACTGGGGTAATGATGAATGATGATGATGATGATGATGATGATGACTACTTCATACACAGTAACGCAGCACATATGCAGATATGCTGGAGCATTTGTTTCGGATTACATCAATTGTATATGTAGCAATTGCAATCAAATGGCAAATGATAATCTTTAGTGTGTCTTTTTTTTTTGTAGGGAGAGGACATCCATGGCATAGCTGGCCTTGTAAACTTGTTTGGTATAGAATCACCAGGACTTACTTCAAGCATGGCAATTGCAGAGCATGTTGCTGCCAAACTATTAAGAAGATAATTTTTGTCCATTTGGTACCCAGTATAAAGCTTTACAAATTCAGCTGTCCTAGAAGTTTTGACCACTGGGCACTGGCTTTGTAAAAACAAAAACTACACTATGCCACCTTAGTAAAAAAGTATAAAATATCAAGTCATTTTATATCAATGAAACGTAAAATGCAAATGATTCAAAGTCTCAAAATTTACGAATAGACTCAAAATTGTTGTAATTCTCCTGGAAATGTGACGGTGTGCAAGTTTGTGATTGGCATTTCCAAGTCTTTATGGAGCAGATTTAGTAACGAGTATATAGCTTTACCAGTTCAGTTGTCCTATAAGGTTTGGCCCCTCTCTTAGTAAAAAAATTGTTACACCAAGGAATATCTTAGCAAAAGGATCATTTTTCATTTTCATTTACCCCAGTGCCGTAAAGGCTCCCACCTACGGTGGGGTAAGGGGGGTCGGATGTATGCAGTCTTACCCCTGTACTAAAGCACAGAGAGACTGTTTCCGGATGATCCATAGTGAAAATCCTGTCCAAAAATGCATGGACTGACTGTTGCTTCATAACAAAGAAGCGCAGACAGTTTAGTGAGTCTTTTTGCTTTATTTCATCATAATCTCAAGTCAAAAAATAATGAATCTTTGATTCCATTGCAAATGATGGAAAATCTTAGTAAAAGGATGAATTGCTAAAACTTTTTTAGCAATTTATGCCGATTATTACATGGATAAAACATATAACGCACTTATATGGATGGTCAGTAGGGTGATAGCTAATTCTTGATCAAGTATTTTCAATAAGAAGTTTGTACATGATTCTTTTTTAAATTATAAAGCGTGACAAAATTATGTATTAAGATACTCCATCCATCCGTTCCATTAGAAGGTTCACACTTTCCTTTTTTAGACGTTCCATATAAGATTCTCATTTCCATTTTATGAAACAATTAACAATCTTAAGTGATAAATTAATCATTAAATATTAAAAATAATACATTTATCACATCACAATTATCAATAGTAACTACATTATAATGTATACCTATTAATTTTTTTTTTTTAAATATACTCGAAGGACTTTATTTAATTATTCTAAATAACCGTGTCGTTTTGATATGGGAACTTTCCAACGAGACGGAGGTAGTATTACGGAGTAGTAAAGATTTGGGCTTTGTAGTAGGGGCGGTCTTTCTATAATCATTTATCGCTAGGATGTTTTTACTTGGACTGTAATTTGCTGGTCTGGTCTGGTCTGGTTTCTTTGTATTTTTATAACTATTCAAGTCTGGTCTGGTCTGGTCTGAACTGGTCTGGTCTGATCTGGTCTGAACTGGTCTGGGATGAAATACGGTCCAAGTAAAAACATCCCTAGCTTCAGCCTTGTCTTTATGTAATCTTTATTTTTCGAGAGGAGCTGGCCCTAGGGTCCTTCTCAGTATCTATTACTTGTGCCTTTTTTCCCTTAATGTAGACGTTTTGTCCTTGGACGTTGGTTCTCCCTACAAAAAGCATAATAAAAATCAACATACTAAAAAGGCAAAGTTTGAGTTTAAAAAATCTCATTGCGTTAAAATCCTTATTATGATTGTTGGCAATTTTTTGGGCATACGAGGTTTTCTCTTTAGATTGAGTAAGTGACGGAACAGTGTAACTTTGTTGCAGGTGTTTCCGAAAAGTGTAGGTTTGACCAAATTGTTAATTGAAAAAAGGAAACATATTTGACGAATATGTTGAGTATTTCCGAAAAGTGAAAAGTGATCATATTTTGTGAATTGAAAAGTTAATTGAAAAGTGAACATATTTTGTGAATCTGTCAGATTTTCTATTGGTCAATAATATGGGACGCGGATCATAATCTCGGATCGTGCATTGAAGGGTGTGGATGGCTTTTAATTGAACATATTTGCCGAATATATTTGCATTAAATAAATATATCTGCCAACATATTCGCCAAATATGTCGGACTTCCTATTGGCCAAAAGCATTTGGTGTGGATCGCCATTTGAGGGTGTGGATCGAATCTAATAAATATATATTCGAACATATTTGGCGAATATGTTGTATAAAACCCACCACAAATCACACTTCACAACACATCCAACCAGGGGTGGGCAAAATAACCGAACCGGCATGGTACCGAACCGCACCGGTATGGTACCGGACCGGAAAACGGGATTTCAAATGGTTCTCAAAAATTTTGTCCCGAACCGGACCAGACCGATTCCAAACTATGCCATGATCGGTTCTCATTTTATGAGAACCGGTACCGGACTGAACCGAACCGAATTATAATTTTATTCATTTATATAATTTTATAAGTATATATACATGTATACCATATTACCATTACTTTGATTACTCATTTGTACTTTGCTAATTGCTAGTTAACCCGATCGGTAAAAATGAATAGTATTATATGAAATTCATTAACTATGTTATTGCTAGCTAATTATGTTTTGTACTATTATAGTTTATAAGAAATTCATTAATTATGTAATATTACCTCTGTCCCAAAAACTTTTCCATTTTAAAAACTTTGACCAATTATATTTTTTTATTGATAATTATTTATAATATAAAAATTATATGAAAATGTTCTTTGTTAAAAATACTTTCATAAAAGTATAAAGTTTATAACTTCCATAATACTATACTAATCAAAATCATGGTTCAAATTTTTTGAAATGACAAAGTTTTTTAGGACGGAGGTAGTATGAAAATTCATAATTGTGTGGATTTTTGGATGATGACTAAGTTTTAATTTATCGAAAAAGTGGCATTGTTTAGCATTGGTATGGTATGGTACCGGATCATTTGAAAATGGAACCGAACCGAACGGGTTTAGGTCTAAGACCGAACAGAACTGAACTGTTTCAATAGTAACGGTCCAGGTACGGGTTTGGTAAAATATTGGACCGGATCGGACCGCGCCCACCCCTACATCTAACTGCTCCAACTTCTCTTCTTTTCCAATTTTCGGCCATATCTTTAACCCAAGTAAGTTTTTCTTTAATCTTTTTTAGTTTAATTTAGTTTATAATTTAAAAATGTTACTTAGGAATGAAATTAGTCTATAATAGTGTTAATTTTTAATTGCAAATTAAAACCTCTAAAAAAAAGTTAAATAAGAAACTTACCAAATATTAGTTTATTTACCAAATAGGAAAGATTAGTGTTAATTTACCGAAATTATAATAGTGTTAATTTTTAATTGTGAATTAGGAACCTAAAAAAGTGAAATATGAAACTTACCAAATATTAGTTTATTTACCAAATAGGAAAGATTAGTGTTAATTTACCGAATATGTATGTGTAAATTTATTAATGTGCATGTTAACCTTATTTTTAATAATTTGTTCACCGTTGGTTTGTAGAAATCTTTCCTATTTCCTATTTAGGAGAATTTTAATTTTGAAATAGTAGTGTTGTTGTTTAATTAGGTGTATTTTTTATTACAAATTGTATTATAAGTAGTGATGTTTAATTAGATTTGTAATTTGTATTATAAATAGTGATGTTTAATTAAATTTGTAATTACGTACGGAGTATTAGAAATTGTATTATAATAGTGTTGTGTAATTACATTTATAATTCGTATTACATATTATGAGTGTTGAATAGAAATTAATTTAATATATTATTAGGTTTTCATGGCTACGCAAAGAGAACACCCTCACCCCGGGCCCATAAAAAGTCACTAAAACGTTCTGTATTGGTGATGAGACCCGGAGAACATCATGTTGATCATTTGTGGAAAACTGAAGAGTTGAGAGACCTGAAACTGAGATGCATTACTTTCCCCAAATTCACCAACAACGATGGTGAACGTCATCCTAGAGTCGTACAACTATTGAGGGCATTATGTGATCATACTACATATGCAAGACTATGTGAGCGCATTATGCAAGAAATGTCCCGTGAAGGTTTATATGATATGAGAACCATTCATGGAAAATTTCTCACATATAATTCTGAGGGAATATATGTTGCCTCCATGTTGTGGCCTATCCATGACGACCAGTCATGGATCTATTTTCTACAATTTGCTCGCAATCAATACGAACGATTGGAGATATACATCAATGCCGAAAAGAAGCAAATGGTTGATTCATCTCAACAACGCACTTCTAGGCGTCCTCCCAACCAAGGCACTTCCCGATCAATTATTGACATCAATGTCTCCCATGATGCTTCAGATAGTGACGATGATCCTTATTATAACGCTCTTTCCTTTTCTGAACACGAGAGCAGTTCCGAAGACAGTGATGATAACCCAAATGAGAACGAGGACGAGGACGAGGATGAGGAGGAGTTCGTTGAACCCACATATTGTGACGAACGACCCATATATGTGAGTAGAGTATATGATACATTCCAAGAGTTGAAGGAAGATGTGTCCCTTCAAAACCTCAAAGAATTTCGAACATTTATTATGGCATTTATTAATCCGGGCACCATCGTCGACCTACGAACAGATCCGACCATTACACAAGGTACGCATGAATTTAAGTACACATTTTGGTCAATCAAAGCAGCGATTGATGGTTTCAATCACTATCTTCTGGTCATTTCCATTGATTGTACACATTTGTACGGTAAGTACAAATGCACTTTGTTGGTTGCGGTGGTGATGAATGCTAACCGTGGAATCTTTCCCCTAGTTTTTTGGGTGGTTGATAGTGAAAACGGGGACAGTTGGATGTGATTTTTACAGTTAGTTGCGACAAATATTATTCACCTGTGTCGGAATGTTTGCATAATATCTGACCGACATGTCGCTATTGATTGTGCGTTCCAGAATGTGCCACAATTGGGAACACCTCTAATTCAGAGGCGATATTGTCTTCGACACATTCAAAGTAATTTTATGTCCCAATTTCGAAGCAAGAATCTAAAAAAATTGTGTTGGCGTGCGGGAAGTACCCTTATTCTAAATGAATTCACTAATTACATGCAACAAATTCGGGGTGTTAATGAAATAGCATTCAACTATCTTGATGCCATTTCTAAAGAGAAGTGGGCACTTTGTTTTGATGGTGGGTGTCGTTATGAAATTTTGACGACCAATCTATCTGAAAGTTTTAACCATGCCTTGAAAGGATGTAGAACGCTTCCAATTACAACGCTTGTGAGAGCAACTTTTGATAAATCCGTTCAGCTCTTTGCAGAATGACGTAATGCTGCTATGATGTGGAATCAAAGTGGATATCAGTTTCCGGAAAAAATACGAAAGCATATTATGGATCGATGGCAACAAAGGCATCACACTGTTGTAATCCCGCACAATCATCATAATGGAGTTTTCTCAGTTGCCATAGAAAATGCAACTCCGGTTACAGTAGACTTTTCAAGGCGCGACTGTGATTGCGGGTGGTGGAGGATGAACTGGATGCCATGCAACCACGTCCATGTTGTGTGTCACTTCCTCAACCGCCCTGTCGATCAACTTATTCCGGAGGTATATAAACTGAGCTCTTACATTAATGCACATGCGGGTGATATTATGCCTCTACCAAATGTGAATGAGTGGCCGGATATTGGGATCCATCTTTTACCGCCAAAATATTTATCACGAACTTCTTGAGTGGGGCGTCGCCAAAAAACAAGGTTTCAAAATGAGATGAATATGCGTCCAAGCAGAAGAAGAGGACAATAATGATTTCATATATTTTTAATATTTTAGCGTTTTTAAATTGTACTTTTTTAGTTTTTAATAAGAAGTTGTTCTTATCATTTCAAAAAAGTATTTCAATTCAGAATATATAAATTTTCATTTCAGTACATAGTACTGTATAATTGTTTTTGAAAGGTTGTATGAAATAAATAATGCATTGGATTGTTTTTACATGTTAATACAGGAACCGATTCTCTACTAAACTTTTTTTATTTGAAATTGTTGAACATATTTAGTAAATACGTCCAATGATTTTTTTTAATAAAAATTGTACGTTGAACATATTCGCCAAATATGTTCATCTATTAAAATAGTCTACAGACGCCTCTGCACTACACTTTTTAATTCAAAATTGTCCAACATATTCGCCAAATACGTTCCCTGCTTTATTTGTTTATATATAAATTGTTGAACATATTCACCAAATATGTTGAACTTTTAAAATGGTCTGTAGACAGAAATCTACACCTTTTGGAATTGTTAGCAGGAAATCTACCCTGTTTTGTCAATGACCCCTTTAGATTGGTACAAGAGGAATTTTCAGTAGTGGAGTTATTAGGGTGTGTTACGCCGCTACGGGTTGTTATGAGAAAATGGTCGATTAAGGTCTTCTACTATTATGAAAATGTCACATAAGGTCATATACTCAATAAAGTGTCATATAAATACGTGTACTTATAAAAAACATTAGGATGAGTCATAACGACATGTTGACAACCTCTTAATCGCGGTTTTAGCGTACACTAGCTATATGTTTAACATATGTTATAAAGCCGACGTGGAATATTTAACAAGAATTGACTTAAATATAAGGCAAAAATAATGACACATTAGGTAAAATTGGGATTAGTAGGTTGTCAATAGGTCATTATGACTCATCCGATGTTTTCTATAAGTAGACATATTTATATGACACTTTATTGAGTAGACCTTATGTGATGATTGCGTAATAGTAGAGGTCTTATTTAACCATTTCTCCTTACTATATCCATGGACCATGGAGTCCAGAAGTTCTTGGAAATCATGCAACTGGTCAAAGAGTTTTAGAAAGACAATGTTTCTGAAGAATTAGGTTTGCTAATTTATCTAAAACGAGTTGATCTCTTCTCAGACTAGAGTGTCTAGTAAATCATGGAGTATTTTTAAGCAATTTTTAGTAAATTCAAACAATCTAATATATGAAAAAAAAAAATCGAACTACACACAAGAATTGAAAATATATTTAAAAATAAGAATATATTATGTTTAAAGTCACATAATATATTTGAGAAAGAAAAGTTGCTTTCCTAAAATACCCTCTTTTCTAGTCACAACAATATAATATATTTGTTGTTTTTAAATATGTAAATTTTATTTTCCAAAAATAATCTTAGATTACTAAAAATAATCTTATATATTATTGACAAGGATCAATTAATTTCACTATCAATCAAATATCATTAATTGTGTGACAACCTTTTAAGTTGAACATATGGAGTATTTAATAATATTCAAATTTCTATTCTGGTTATTTGCTTAATTTTGTTTTCCTTAACATTTAAATTTTTTAAGGTATTTATGTTATAAGACTTGTAGATTATTTAAGTTTTTGATGAGTGGATTTCAAATTTTAATGGAAAAATTGATCAATTTTTCTTTAATTTGAAAACAAGTTTTACAAATAACTTGAACATTTTTTAAATTTTTTTTGAATTGCTAATAAATATATTTATATTACTGTTTGAACAAAGTTTTTTTCATTTATGTATTAGAGCTACAACTTCTTACAATTAAACATACTTTACTTAAAAATAATTCAATTAGGTTTGATTTTATTTATTATTAAGGTATTTCATTTTTTTCTTAAATTTTAATTACTTTAGATGTAGGTTGTAATAGACTTATTATGTTAGGAGAAAATAGGAAAAATTCACATTAATAATCTCAACTATCAGCCGTCTTCAAATATTAATCCCAATTATACGTAAATCGAAAATAATCTGAAATTTATAGACAACCTTCCCTAGTTGATCCAGGTTACCTGGAACTTATACAACCGGTAATAAAAATCTAAAGAAAAATAAAAAAGGTTTGGCACCGGGCTGTTTATCTTCGTCCACCCAAATTCCCTTGTTGCTTCTTTCGTCCACCCAAATTCCAGCCTTCCAGGCAGCATGTTGCTTCTTTCGCCCACCCAAATTCCAGCCTTCCAGGCAGCATGTTGCTTCCTTCGTTCATGATTTCTTCTTCTTTATGTTTTCTTTTCTTTTTCTTCCTCCACACATATGTAAAACTCCTTCTCACCTTGATTTCATGCTCAAATTTGCTCCTCGAATTTTCAATTTCATATTCGAAAGATTTTATTTGGTCGATCCAAACTCTAATATGCCACTATTCATAACGTTTGGTTAAGAAAGGAAGAAGAAGTAGACTAGCCGATTAGGCCAGGTGATATGAGCAGGTACATGGTGGCGATAAACACTTAGGAAGGTCGGATGATTATCTGACCTGGGTTAAGAACGGTGACGCTAGAACAGAGACGGGTCGATGTCCGTACTTGCCTGATTCCCTGGAACAGTCCTAAGAAGAGGAAGATATGAAGAAAAGAATGAAAGAAAGGAAAAAGAAAATCAAATCAAAAAAGGGAAAAATGAAAACCATTAAAAATAGGCCACGTATTCGAGTCACCTGAAGAATTTGTTAATGCAGGTCACCGGTTCATTTTGAGAAGAGGCTCGTTATAGTTCAGATTATTTTAGAATTATGCATATTTTGGATTAATATTAGAAGACGGTTAATAGTTCAGATTATTCATGTGAATTTTTCCGAGAAAATATTTGAAGAGTATTGAAATAATTCACCGTATCTGCAATATAAGATATTTTTCAACCAAATAAAATAAAGACACATTCTCTTAATCTTAAGAGATATTTACCCCTAGTATGACTAGAACTTTTAATTTTTCTCATAATATGACCTCAATGTTTTTTTTCCTAATCTATACCAATCCCAACCGGCGCTTAATGGAACCCCATACACCTGAATTTGTTAATTCCTTCGCTACCCTTCCAACCCTTCGAGTGATTGCTATGGTAAGTATTTCTCTAATTAATAAACTCCTACATCTCATTCCGTCTATGCGTTGCTAATGTTTATTTTTTTCTTACTTCTTCACATATTTTATCATATTTGTCTTCCTTTTACAAGTCATACACATGTTCTTTGTAATTATGTGTGTTTGAATTGATGACCATTATTTTGTCTCTTATTTTTACGGATCGTTGTATGCATCAACAATGATGACCATAATTATAAATGTCACGTATTTACGTATTCATTCAATCATTAATGGTCCTGAACAAAATTACTATTAGCATTACAAAAACTAATTAATTTTCATTACTATAATAATACTCCCTTCACCCCATTAGGAGGTTTTCACTTTCCTTTTTTGGACGTGTCGTTAGAAGGTTCCCATTTTTTTAGGAAACAATTAAGAACCGTAAGTGACAAATTAATCATTAAATATTAAAGTAATACATTTATAACATCACAGTTATCAATACTAACTACATAAAAATATATACATATTAAAATTATTTCTCAAAATATACTCTGAAATACTTTATTTAATTATTGCCTAAATAACCGTTGCGTTTTGCTATGGGAACCTTCCAACGGGGCGGAGCCGCGGAGGGAGTTTTGTTCATTATTTAATAGAACATGCCGTAAATATGTGCATTAATTTGTTGCCGTATCATATTGCATTACATCATTGGTGTAAATATCGGTTATCAAC